TGGCACCTGGTTCTGCACCCACGCTAGTGAGTCACCACTGGGTCCATAGAATTAAAGTAACAGTTTGTTATCTTCGTATTGTGGCTCATTAAAACTGTTGTATAATATTGTATAATAATATATATTATATATATATATATATATATATATATATATATTCAGAATAGTATATTCGAGTTGAGGAGAGAAAAATACATTAGTTTAAAAAAAAAATATTCTACGTCAATTTTTAAAAAAAAATTAACTCGTCCAAAAACGAACATTTTTTTATTAACGATTTTTTTCTACTCGATCGTTTCCTCAAAATTCTTGGTGAATCGAATCACCTGAATTTTTTTCCCCGCTGTGCGCCTTCTGGGAAAGACGGGACAGGCAAGTACTTTTTTTTCGGAGATTGAGAATTGTTGCTAAAGTTTGCGACACAGGTCGATAAATTTTACATGACTCTCTTGGGAGTGGCGTTACCCACATGATAAACTACTTTAGAAATCAAAATGTTTATTATAACATGTTGAATTGTTGCAAACGTAAAACCGACATAATTGCAATTTACTGCTAAACTAACAATCTCACATTATTTTTTCATAGAACTGATTTTGTAGAGGGCAAGCTAATGAACCACTTTGATTCAAAAAAAATTTCAAAATCCCCGTTTACAAGCAAAAAAACTCAAAAAAACCGGTTTTTCTTTGTTTAAACAATTTTCCTGGCTACAAAACACGGGTTCTAGCGGGGACAAATGGAGGGCATATTCGTGGGGGTCTATACTATCTAGGAAAAAATTGGCTAAGCGCTGGTGTCTTAGAATAGAAGTCGGTCCAAATTATGGCTATTCCGACTGGACTATTACATAACTGCCTAAAAAAATCCCATAAGTATCTACTTTCCTAGGTACGGACAGTATCAAAAGTTGATGACCACATTCAGATTTCCAAAATCACCATAGACAATTGTCATTTTTAGTTTTGTTTATGTTTATTATGTTATTGAAAGCCTGGCAATGTCGCGAATGTAATACATGGGTCATTGTCAAATTTTGCGCAGGTAAACGAGTCCCTCAACATTATTTATTTTTTTGTTATTAATAATGTCAAAATCCTTAACGAATTATACACTTCTGGACACATCTATTGGCCCACCTTAGAGTTTAGGTTTCGATGGCCCCTACCGAAATATGATTGCTAGATTGAACAAAAACTGTTGATGCAGTTTTAAACCTGATACATTTTACCATCTTTTTCGATCGTATTGTTTTAAATTTGAATTCAGAATACCATACGACATGGAGCTACGCCTAACAAGTCGGATATGCGCCTTGTTAAAGGCAATTGATTTTTGAATAAAAAACATGTTTTATCAAATAAAGGTTTAATTTAATAACGCGTGTTGCCTCCATGGGCATCTACCACAGCTCTTATACGATTAGGCATAGAGTTTATCAACCGCTCTATGAAATTTTGAGGGATCATCTCCCATTCCTCTTCTATGGCAGTTTTCAAGTCCTGCATCGTCTGTGTAACTGGCTGACGAGCCCTAACACGTCTTTTTAGCTCGTCCCACATGTGCTCAATGGGGTTCATGTCTGGGCTTCTGGCTGGCCAGTCCATAACTGTGATGTTCACATCCCGAAGATATTCCCTGACGATGCCGGCCGCATGGGCTCTTGCATTATCATGCATAAAAAGGAAATTTGGGCCCACATAGTCCGCGTATGATATTACGTGAGGTTCTAAGCACTCACGAATGTACCTTTCAGGATTTAATGTTGGCAGCCGTGGTCCTGTAACAACCTCAAGTTGAGTTTTGCCGCTCGCGGATATACCGCCCCAGACAGTCCATGAGCCACCGCCATAAGCAACCCTCTCTTCAAAGCAGCATTGTACGAAACGCTCTCCCTTACGTCGGTAGACCTTCTTCCTTCCATCATTGCCATGTAACACAATTTTAGACTCATCTGAAAAGAGTACACGGCTCCAATCTTGCTGTGTCCAATTTAAATGACTGCGTGCGAAATGAAGGCGCGCTGTTCGGTGGGCTCGCGTTAGTTTGGGCCCATTAGCTGGCTTGTGTGGTACCATATCGCGTTCTTTTAACCTTCTCCGAACAGTTCGAGCGCTCACAGATACTCCGTGGAAGTCGCGAATTTGTTTTTGTATCTCAGTGGAGGTAAGGTGACGATTTCTCAAGCTGGTCGTCACGATGAATCGATCCTGCCTTTCAGTTGTGACCCGAGATCGTGGCCTTCCTTGGCGACAAACAAAGCCGCCATTCTCTAGGTACCTCCGATAAACATTTCGAACCGCAGATCGACTTAAATTAAGTTGAGCATTCACGTTTCTTTGGCTGTGTCCGGCCTGAATAAGTGCCACCGCTTGGGCGGCGACTTCAGGTGAAGTATCCATAGATTATTGATAGAACCTCACCTTAATGTTAAGAATAAGTAATGTTTGTTGCAAAACCAAAGATATCAATCACTTTTTCAAGAATTAAATCCAAGAAAACCAATAAAACCAAGTTTTCTTAGTATTAGATTGTTTGATATCAACAAACAGGCTCCAAATTGTCTTTTGTTTCTTTAAATTCTGTGTTCGAAATTCAAAAACAGACTATTGAATGAAATTGTGAATGTGCCAGGTTCAAAACTGCATAAAAACTTTTTGCTCGACCTAATATAAAATTTTAGCTAGGACCAAACGAAACTGAAAATACAAGGTGGGCCAATAGATGTGTCCAGAAGTGTATATTAAATACAAAATACATCGCTATAGCGAACATCCATTATTGGAATAAAGACTCAAGTTTCGATATTTTTAATTTTTTTTCAATTAACAAAATGGTCATTAGTGGTAACAGAAAGGTTTTCCTTACAAATTGTACCTGTCCCATGTAGCATTCCGTTACAATAAACATCATATAATTGCATTTTCTACTATAGTAACCCTCTTAATCTCTTATCTATTAGACAAGTCCGTCCGTCCGTCCGTCCGTGGTGCTGTTTCAGCGGCCAAACCGTAAGAGATAGATAAAGAGAATGTTTAAGTTATAAGTTGAGAATAGTCTGATAAGACTACAAACCGGATGTGAGTAACGTAGCACTTCCGGTTTTCGAGAAATCACGTGATTTCTATTTCAAACGAAAACACGCAAAATCTCCGAAGTTCTCAATTAATTAAATACATTTTTTTTTGGTGAACATTTGGTTCACTGGTGTGCTAGTATAAATTATAATCGTAAACGGTTCCAGATAGTACGTGGGACAAAGTTTAGAAAATTATTTAAAAACTAAATTTTAATACTGACTGATTTTAAAACATATTTTATTAAATATTTATAGAGTATTATAAATGTTTGAGTATTAATATGTTTTAAAATCAGTCAGTATTAAAATTTAGTTTTTAAATAATTTTCTAAACTTTGTCCCACGTACTATCTGGAACCGGCTGGTTCACTATGTTACTAACTAATTCACGACTCAAAATGAAGATGGCGCTGATGGTGCTGTTTTGGACACTGTTTTATTTTGGGCGAAATGTCTGCATTCGTCGTGGGAGTTCGTTAGGTTGGAGGGAGGGGTATGTCGCTCGACAGTCGACCGCAAGGTGTTGAACGTGCTGCGTGTTTAAATTGCCCGTCCACCTTGTTACCTACCTATTCACGTAAGTAAATGAATATTTTTTCATTAGTTTACGTTCAGTTTATTGTCTGAGGGGTAAATGTGTTAAATGTGAACGAAATATTTTACTTTACGCTTTATTTTTTGACTTGTGTATAATGGAATGTAAAATTTACCACTCTGTTGCTACGCAACTCTGTTACTATTGTGTGGTAACAGAGTTGTTTAGAAAGTAACAGAGTTGCATAAGCCATTATATTCTGTTATTTGGCTAAAATATTATGTTTCAAATGTAATTTTTTTAATCAGTTGTCTCAAGCAATGGATAAATTTGTTATATGTATACAAATAAATCGAAATAATAAATATAAATAACCCCAAAAACTCATTGTTACAGGATATTATGCGTTGTTTGCGTTATTAAAATGCCTCTTACGCCTGCTGTGAAGCAGCGACGATACCGGGAACGCCGTAGAAATAATCAAGAGAAGGAAGAAGAAACCAAAAGAACAGATAGAGAAAGATACCATGCAAACAAACGCTTAGTAAGTGATTTAACAACACGTCAACATCGAGCAATAAAAAAGAAATGGCGATGTGCGAATGCCAGACGAAGAGATAAAGCCAAAGCTCTCAGTGTGATTATGCACACTCCAGAGTCATCACCCCCTCGTTCAAATAGTCCAGCCATCACAGATCAACATCAAGTTGTTTTGAGAGCTTATCATCATTTATCTACACCTCGGCTGTCTACTTCTCGTGAAAGCACTCCTAACTCTACATCAGCAGCGGTACGCGGTAGAAAGCAAATAAAAACAAACAGATCAAGGCTATTTAGAGATAATATGAAATTAAAGGAACAATAAGAGGCAGTAAACAAGAGATACGAAAAGTACAAAAAACGATACAACAGTGAAAAACAAAAACGATTTCAAAATGAAGACGGCAATCGATCTAATCAACAGAAATATCAGATTTTATCAAATGCTATTAAAAAACGCTATAAAAATGTAAAAACCCGGAAGGAAAAAGTTGCTATTCAAAAAATATTTGAAGAGAAAACCGTTAAAGGTTCTAGGCAGAAAACACAAATTATAAAAGAATGTCTTGCTGTGGACCAGGGTTACGTAAGAAAACAACAACCTCTTTTTAAAGTAAATATTTTAAGTACTAAAATCAAGGATTTTTTCGCACGTGACGACATATCAAGGGCAACTGCTGGAAAAAAGGAAGCCGTGTCTCTAAAGAAAGATAAAATGCAGAAGCGCTACTTACTCGATAATATGAAGAACCTTTATGTATCTTTTAAGCAGGAAAATCCTGCCTTGAGATGCAGTTACAAAACTTTTACACGTTACAGACCATTTTTTGTTGTGCCTCCTACTGCAAGAGAAACATGCTTGTGTCGAATTCATACTAATATCCAATACTTAGCATTTGCTTTGTGCAAAAACAAAGTTATTCCAACATCAGATCTTAATAAGATTATTGTAGACCAAGTATGCAATCCAGATTCATTAGCATGTATGACAGGAATCTGTTCCGTATGCCTATCAAAAACAACTAATTTTGATACGTCAAAAGACGAAATCATAGTAAGATATCCTTAATGGATAAGTAAAACTGAAGTGATAGAGAAGGCAGGAAAGAAAATCAAAGTTACAAAAAACGTTAAAGAGGAAACAGAAAGTACGGGAAAGGCACTGATGGAAAAGTTTGAAATTACACTAGAGGAATTTAAAAGGCATATTTATTACATCAAGACACAGTACAGAAACTACAGAAAATGCATAGATGAGTTGACCACTAATGAAATTGCACTGCACATTGACTTCAGTGAAAATTACAGCTGCAAATGTTTTGAAGAGGTACAATCTCATCATTTTGGTGGTTCCCGAAATCAAGTGTCCTTGCACACTGGAGTGATCTACAGTCGTTGTTCAGACCATAAAATAGAGGTATCATCGTTTTGTACCGTGTCTGGAAATCTTTCACACAATCCAGCTGCAATATGGGCTCACCTCCATCCCATCTTTGCTTCAATTCAAGAGAAATTTCCGGAAGTAAATGTCCTGCATGTATTTTCAGACGGCCCCGCCACTCAATACCGCCAAAAACAGAATTTTTATCTGATATGTACAAAGTTATTCTCTAACTACCAGTTTACCAAAGTAACATGGAATTTTTTCGAGGCGGGCCATGGCAAGGGTGCAGCAGACGGGATCGGTGGTTTTTTAAAACGGGCTGCAGACCAACTTGTTGCACATGGAAGTGATATATCTGATGCCACAAAATTCTATCTTGCTTTGAAAGATGTGAGTAAAGTGAGGCTACATCTGATAACAAATGAGGATATTGAACAAAGTCCAACACAGATCCCGGACAATATCGTGCCATTATTAGGTACAATGAAAGTTCATCAAGTTTTCTCTGAGGAGCCTGGAGTTCTAAAGTATAGAAATCTGAGTTGTTTTAGTCAGCGCGGCTTTTGCACTTGTATGAATCCTAAGAATTACTTTCCATTGAAAACTGCAGTAGAACAGTCAACTCCCTCCAATTGCGATAAAAATATGCTGTCCGATATAAGCAACCTTTATCAAAAGCGAACAAAAGGGTTTTATAGATTTGTCTATAGCTCAGACTCCGATGATATTGATGGTGCCCCTTTGATATCTTTGAAAGAAGAAAGAAAAACCTACCTATATTCAGTTGCACAACCCTGCACATCAAAGGAAAATGAAAATGCCTTGATTGAAATGAAAAATATTCATGCTAATAAAATAAAAGAAGGTATTTGCGTCTTAGTAAAAGTTTCCAGCTCAAAACAGGATTACGTCTACCTGGGTAAAGCCTTGTCTGAAGTAGAAGATGATGGTGAGGTTAAAATCATGTTTTTTGAGGCAATTGACAACACTGCAACAAAATTCAAATTAGTTGAGACTTATTTATCCTATGAGCCTTTTGATAATTTACTTGCCATTGTTCCAGAACCTAAAAAGTCTGCAAAGGTAAAAGGGTATACTACCAATTTGATACTCCCTTAGATATATTTGAGAAATAAGTAACTTCAACTTTGTAGTTCCTCTTTCAAGACATTCTAATTTTTATTTCTATTAAGAGAAGAAATATATAAGAAAGTAAGCTCTTGATTGGTAAATTATAGTCATAAGTTTATTTTTGATATTATTAAAGTTTATTGATTAGGTGATTTAGATCTTATGCTTAATAAGTGCAAATTATTACGTAATGTACAATAAAAATAACAATTATGTTACTGTGTTACAACTCTGTTACTTTTCTGTCCCAAAGATTAAAGAACTAAGTAAGATTTTAAAGAGAAGCTAGTTAATATAATATAGCAAATATTGCGATGCGTTAATTTTATAGATATTTATACAGTATTATGTTCCAGTTAGCTGTTAATATATAGATATTTGGAGGACTTAAGTAGAATTTAAGGTATTTTAATATTCAAGTTGTTTAAGAGTTAAGATTAATGATTGTTAAACTTAACAAAAGACTGTTATGATTCTAATTATATGTAAAAGATATAAGACTGTTTAATATGAATACCAAAATATTTGCTACTGACTTGTTTAGTTTCATAATAAAAGGTAAAACTAATTGGTAACAAAGTTGTATTTTTTTTACACCCTGATCCATTAAATGTGGAATAAATCTTAAATTGTTGGTTGAACATCGCGACCAGCTATAATAGATGATAATGCAGTTGTTTTAACGGACACGGACATAGAAAAAAGTAAAATCTAAACATATATTTTTTTCAAAAAAAATATGATATTAAGTTAAATTTACCTGCGCAAAATTTGACAATGACCCACATAATATACATAAACAGAACTAAAAATCACAATTGTCTATAGTTATTTTGAAAATCAGATTTTTGTCACCTACTTTTGATGCTGACTGTACCTACAAATCGAAGAAATAAACAAATAAAAGAAATTAAACCGACTATAACTAAAAAGAGAAATAAAAACCATTAAGTCGGTTGGAGCCATGAATGAAACACGGAAACCAATGAAAAAATTAAACTCTTATTCATGATTCATTTTTCAGGGCTACTATCCACTTGAGTAGGCAACTAACTATCCCTTTTTGAAGTGAAACTTCTAATGCGACTTCCAACTAGGGATGAAACGATAATACAAGTACTTACTCGATACTTTCCTTCCGATACCAAGTACTTTTTGTATCGATACTTTGAAACTGAGTAATGTATCGGTCAAAAGTACTTACATAGGTAAACCAATATCACAAACAACTTGAAGTTAGCCAAAAGCGACGGTGTGCTAACTCAAAAGCAGGCGAAATTTACTTTTTCATTGTTAATTCAGTCTGCACTTCAGTTGGTACTTCTGCATCCTGTGAAAGGTTCTTTTCCAAAGCTGGCGCAACAATCGGTACATCCAGAAATCATCTTCAGGCGTTTGCCTGTTAGATTTAGAAAAATGTATATTTGGGGTGTTAAAACAATGTTATATTTTTTCAAGGTACTTTACTTACTTATATATATTTAACCTTTACTTACTTAATTGTTATAATATACGATCTACTAGTACAAATAGGTATTATTTCTTGTAATCGAGGTTTTGTCGATATGGGAACTGGTACAGAAGAAATTATCCCCTTAGCTTCTCAAGAATATGCCAGTTCCCATACCCTCCAAATATCGAGGATATGGGAACTGGTACAGAAGAAACTGCCCCCATAGCTTCTCAAGGATTAGTGTTTTTATTAGTAGGGATAAATCATCGTTTTAAGATACCATTAGGATACTTCCTGATTAATGGTATTACAGGGGAGCAAAAACCGAACTTTATAAGAATGTGTCTGATAAAGTGTTGTAATGCCGGAGTAGATGTCATTTCGTTAACGTTGTATGGACACTCGACAAATTTTACCGCAACTGAGTTACTTGGTTGCGAAATCATACATGCTTAGAATTTTGAACATCTCACCCAAATGATCCTAGTCACGTTATTAAACTTATAAGAAATCAGTTTTCAGCAAAAAAAGATTTTCTTGATGAAAATGATAAATTAATAAAATGGAAATTTGTAGAACCGCTAAATACTTTGCAAAACAAGGAGGGGATCCACCTTGCAAATAAACTTTTAAAATGACATATATTTTTTTTTAAATCAGATTATGAAAGTAAAACTATCCACTCAGCTCATGATTACTAGTATTGCGAATGCTTTAAAGGTATGAAGACAGGACTTAAAGGTTTTGTTTGATGTATTCAACTCAAGAATAATGTGGCAATATGATTATAAAAAACCTTTATGTAAGGGCAATAAATATATAATTTTAAAAGACGACGGTTTTTTCGACGGTTTAAAAGTATATTTTAAAATTAAAAATTTTTATAAACCAGTTGGAGAAGCCAAATGTAAATCAGGATTTATAGGTACATTAATTGATATTGAAAGTTTGAAAAATATAGAATCTGAAAAAAGACTGATTTTCTTACCTCCTTCTAAACTAAATCAGGCCCATCTTGAAATATTGTTTACATCAATCAGGATGCATGGAGGGTTTAATTATAACCCTTACGTAAAACAATTTAAATTAAAGGAAGATACAGAAAGAGACATATTTAGAATTAAAATATCTTTCAAAAAGTAATTGCGTTCCTTTAGAAAATATAGCAATAATGAATTGCACTACGACGACTCAAATTATAAACAGTACTTCATTCTTATACAGACACGAAGAAGAATGCAATCACAATTCTTCTTTGCAGCTCCTTCGTAAGATTGTTAGTGAATCTTTTAATTTGGCGAGTCGCTTACATGATCATTTATATGATGACTATAAAAAAATAATAATCTAGTTTGAATATAAAAGTACCCGTTTTGCCTGTTTACGTTACTGAAACTCTGACACAAAAAACACAAAAAATATTCCGCTTGGCTCGTGTCTTTCAAAAGGAAAATGATTATGCCTTCTGTGGGACATCGCGTGGAGTGGTCTATATTCGGAAAAGTGAAGCTGATTCGCAGATACGGTTTGAAAATGAATGAGATTGTAGCGTATATTTATTAATTACTTAACTTTTTCTTATTTTTGTTACCATTGTAATTTCATTTGTAATAAATTTTGCTTTATAAATATTTATGTAATTAAAATAATTTAACTCTAAAATAATTCGCACAAGCGAGGACGGGTGCGCGCGCTACTATAACAAAACGATTCGCACTTGACCGTTTCTGTTATCGCAATCTTTTGTTCTCCACATTCCTGCGCCGGCGCAGCAGACATTCATATTTCGTGCGCCGGGCGTCATTCGGGATTCATGTCCGTCCTCGCTCTGCCCCCAACTTACGCGCTATCACAATTATTTATTTTCTTATCTGTTTCTAAACTTTTAATTTTACTATCTGTTCTGCTTGTGTCTGTGCCCGTGATTTCTTCTGTTTTTCTTCTTCTGTTTTTCTTTTTATGTGTATGTGGGAAACTGTGAAACTTTAATAGACTATTTTACCGAATCTTTATTCGTTTCATTACATATCCGCGTATAGATCCCCATATCTGGTGACCCTTTAGACGAGGCACGCAGTAATTGTTATACGTTTGCACCGCGCCGCGAATTTGTTCCGCGCCGTGAATTTGAGCCGCGCCGCGTGTATCAATATACCCGCACAGAAAAATATCGAAAAAATTTCTTGAACATTCTGGAATTTTCTATATACGGCGATGGAACCGGCAAGCGCAAACGAGAAGAGCGATTCACTATACAAAGTAGGGATGAAGACGCCACCGTTTTGGGCTCAAGAACCGGCGTTGTGGTTTGCGCAGATAGAAGGACAGTTCGTGATCAGTGGAATAACTTCGAATGCTACGAAATTCTACCATGTCGTCGCGCAGCTGGATCATCAGTACGCAGTAGAAGTGAAAGATATCATAACTGCCCCGCCGCACGAGAATAAATATGAAAAACTGAAGACGGAATTAATTAAGCGCTTGTCAGAATCGCAGGAAAAGAAAATGAAACAACTTTATTATAACTTGACCAATTCCTGCGACATTTACAGACATTAGCTGGCCAGAATATTCCAGACTCTTTCTTGAGGACGCTTTGGGCAAGCAGACTTCCACATAATATTCAGACCGTAATAGCTTCTCAGTCGAACATGGAATTAGGAGCGGTTGCTGAACTAGCTGATAGAATACATGAAATCGCGCCACTTTCGCCGACAGTAGCTAGCATCGGACCGAGCGCATGTGTAAGCGATGCGATGGACAAGATGGCGAAACAGGTCGAAGAATTGACACGTCAGGTATCTTCGCTAAAAAGTCAGGTAACCCGCTCACGTTCTTTTAATAGACATCCACGCAGTGCGACACCATACCGAAATCGCAGTAGTTCTCGTTCAAAATCCAGATATAGAAATGAGGGATACTGTTGGTATCACAATCGATTTGCCGATAAAGCGCGAAAGTGTATTTCGCCATGTTCTTACCCTGCTAACACGGTTTTAAACAACAACGGCAGCCGGAAATAGCGGCAAACGACTGCCTCAATGGACCGAGCCGCTTATTTGTTACTGATTTAAATACTAAAATGACTTTTTTGATCGACACAGGTTCTGATCTCTGCGTTCACCCACGATCAGCTCTGCAACAACCGCGCAAAAAGACGGAATATGAACTGTTTGCAGCCAATGGATCGCCCATACACACCTACGGCTGGGTTCATCTTCAGCTCAACCTGGGACTGCGCCGTGTATTCCGATGGAGGTTTGTCGTAGCAGAGGTTTCTAAACCAATTATTGGTGCTGATTTTCTCCGGTTTTACAATATACTTGTAGACCTGAGGAACCACCGTTTAGTCGACGGGCTTACAACCATTTCAACAGCAGCCCAGCCAGCAAACCCAGCAGCAAATGTGGAGTCTATCAAGTCAGTAGCTGGTGATAGTCGATACCATCAACTTTTACGTGAGTACCCCGATATTACCAGACCTTCTGGCACCGTCAAGGAAATCAAGCATAACATGGTCCATTACATAAGAACAACACCTGGTCCACCTGTTTCATGCAGACCACGCCGATTACCACCGGACAAGCTGAAGGTAGCTCAGAAGGAATTCGAGGACATGATGGCCAATGGTATAGCACGACGTTCAGAGAGCCCTTGGGCGTCACCTTTACTCCTGGTTCCTAAGAAGAACTGCGGCTGGCGTCCTTGCGGTGATTACCGTGCACTGAACTCCCGCACCATCCCGGATAATTATCCAATCCGGCACATCCAGGACTTCGCTCAGCAACTAACCGGCAGCACTGTATTTTCAAAGGTAGATTTCGTAAAAGAT